TTAGACGTGTGAAACTGGCACGAAGGACAGCGCCGCTGGTGATCTCCTCGGAACGGAAGGGCCAGTCATGATCCGTCACTAACGACTAATGCCAGCAATTTGCGTCGACGCCAGGGGACGCAACTGAGAGAGCGATGCATGCACGTCATTCGACGTGATTTATACGACGTGTCCTGTTATAATACCGGTAGCCTATAATGCAACGCTATAGTGTCCTATAGGACCGGAAGCGCGGGAAGTGCCAGGAGGTGCACCACGTGGTAATCAACATGAGCTACTGGCCGATGATCCCTAACCACTAATGGATCGTGCCAGAATGAGATGCAATATCGATTATTCCGATGAACGCAACCGATAATATAACATAGAACATGATTTAGTCGCAAAACAGGATACCTCAAATTATTGCAGCTTAGAATTAAAAGTAAACAATCCATAATTAAGAAGCATAGAGGCGTTCATAAAACTGAAACAAAAGAAAATATACGGAGAAAGATGACTTGTTTTGTCAAGCCTAGATAGTGATGCGTAACCTGCGGGTCGCATGCTATTGTGATTTTTGTAGGATTTTTCGATTTAGAGTCGAAAATATAATAATAAAATTATCTATTTTATGTAATATAAACATGAAATAACCAAAACAATTTTATCTATTTATAAAATCTTCTAAAAATAACTCTAAAAAAGGTTTTAAGTATTGATTCGACGGCCTAACGAGATACATCTTTAATATGCTACTTTATTGTTGATTAAGTGAAGATCTAATCACATTTTGATGCAAACTTCTTGATAAACGTGATGATTAGAATGTAATATTGCAATGAGAAAACGCGATATAGTAAAGGGAGAGGCGAAATGAAGACACTGATGAAACTGGAATTTCGACAGCTTGGAATAATGCGAGATACGATGTTTTCCCGCGGGAAACGGTGCCTGCAACTCGAGCCCTGAATTTCAGACGACGATCGAAGCCCTAACTTGCCTCGTGGAAAATAGATCTCGGAATGTCGCATACAGATAAGCACCAGGATATTACAGTTCTCATTATCAAGAACGAAATTATGTTACTGTCCGCGAATAATAAGTATCCTATACCAGATGATATTACATGTTTTCTGCCGAGGAAAGAGAAAGCGTTGAAATTAGAAAAAAACATCGATAACTTAATATAATCGTTAAAAATTAAATAACTAATTATTTAAAATTTAAAAAATATTTTAAAATGAATCAAAGTGATAAAATTCGCAAGTCCTAAACGACTCGCGACGTAGCACATGATATCACAAATATCTCTTATATAGAAATATCTTTTATACAGCACGCATGTCATAAAAAAAAAATAAAGTTTTGTCAGTTCGACAACATCTCTGTCATCGTTCGTGTATCGCATACGAACCTGCCAGAAATATCTGCCACTTTTTATGGTGGTTACATAAAAAGCGGATTTTTCCCCGGATACACCTGTATACATTGTATGCAATGTGCGTACTAATCCAAAGGAAATGAATACTGGAGACCGATATCCTGCTGCGTATTGATGAACGCCCGCGGAATTCGCCGAGCCATGTGGAAATTCGCTCCGTACTATGAATTTCTCTATTCACGGAGGCAGTCATTTTCCCCGTTGGCGCGAAATTTTTCCCACGCTGCGAGGAAAGCAAACAGTTCTCCGGGAGCCATGACGGAAATATGATTCCCGCGACGTCTCGTAAAAACGACTTGGCTTCATTTCGCTGGATTATGCAGTACCCCTTTCGCATGATTTACCGCCAAGGCCAAGGGAAGGTACAGCATGGAGAATTCGAGCCGACGAAAAAAGGAAGACGAAGAAGGAGTAAAACGGAGGTGACGAGGAGATGATAAAAAGAGATATACAAAACTATTTACAAAAAAAAAAGAAAAGGAGGAAAGAGAGAGAAAGGAAGGTAATCGACGGCAGACGGCGACTTCCGGAAGATTACACGAACCGGAGGCTGCAGTTTACTCCATTTGGCAAGCTCGATATTCACCGGGCCGCCTTCTCAACCCAACTCCCCCATCTTTCCTTTCCTTCTCTGACCGTCGACGAATGAAATACGTCCTCGCCTGAATTTCAAACGACGCTGCAAATCGAATCAGGCTCGCTATGAATCTTCCGACGAGGCCGAGGAGAACGAAACTGGTGAAGTTTTGAGGAGGCGATGGGTGTGTTTGCACATTCGAGAGACAAGGGTGATTTAAAAGGTCGGCACGACCGACGAAGGCTAATCAACTCCGTTGAATGAATAATGTCCTGAAATATACAGCGGCATCTGAAGGGTTAACGTGAGATAATGTGACGCACAAAGATCTGTTCAAATGTAGAGAGAAAACAAGATTATTTTTATAACAGGCTTTACTTAATTCGCGAAATATCGATGCGCATAAATTAATACATTAGCCAAATCTATATAACGTGTACCTTATTTGACGTTTAATCGTTATTTAATTTGTGTTCACTGGTGAATCAATCAAAATATTAAGACACGGATTTCAATCCATTAATGGGATGAGAACATAATGAAATGCATAATAGTTAATTAACCCGATGTGCGGATTTGCGCTATGTTTACATGTATGTTCGAAGGGAAACATTTCTCTGTATGTACCAGTGCCAACATGTATTGTTGCACGTCTACATGAAGTTTAACTTTCACGTCGCGAGATAATTATTTCAAGCTTTCCAACTATCAGAATTTTGCATCCATTTTGCAATACGCTTAAGATACCTTGTAAAATTAACATCGTTGTCATTGCAATTCGTGTGGAATTGTATGCGGCACTCAAGTTTACTGTGTCTCTTCATTCGTAATAAATCGAGGATCAAAATTGCATATCTTAAGAATAATTATTATCGCAAATATAATATAAATAAAAATGTATCGCCTTTTAACATTTTTTCATCAAATTTAAATATTATGAACAGTAAGTAAATAAACTTTTTTTTTAATTATTCACACTATAAACTTTAAGTCTATTTTTTCAAAATTACATAAAGCATCACATATATTCTTATTGCATTCTATTCCTCAATTAACATTATACGAACAACATTCGAAAGGGAATATAAAAATTATATAGGTGTGAAACTGTTATCATAATTGTTCGTTTTCCTTTCCACAATCAATTAAAGATTACAAATTTTATAAAGACAAGATCTAATAATATGTTATCTAATAGCTTAGAATCATTAAAGTGCTGGCAAACTCTCGAGAAGCAACTGGATTAGTTTCACGGCAAATTGGATGAGACCGGTCGATGGAACGGAAGCGAGCGAGTAAAAGGAAACTGAGATGACACTATTTCCTACACGCATTATACAAACCGATTCTCAGAAGCATGAGGAAGTTCGTGCGGACTAGACACTTCCAGATTTATCGCATGCGTCTTGAAGGTCGGCATATATAATTGCCGAAGTTAACCGATCAAACGATGATTAAGGAACAACGTGTCGTGAACGCAATCGTTGCTCGTAGATTAGATTCCAGTACCACTACCGGGAATGGCAAGGGGGATCGTTAGCACTAATGACTCAGGGGCAAATAATTATCCGTTACGTCTTCTTGCACGCGTAATTTACGAGGAGACACCGCGTACCAACGATATGAAACTGCAATTATGTCATGATAAACTTCAATGCAAACGCCGAGATAGCCGTGCTATCTTATAAAACATTTGTAATATCACGTCTCGATTTGGTCAGCTGTCATTGTCGATTTCTGAACTTGGTAAAATCCAGGGTTGGCAACGTTACTTCACAAAAATAAATTGCCGTATCAGTATTATTATAAGTATTGTAAACTTTATAAATCGAGAACATTATTTCGAAATTAAAAGTTCTAGTTGCACTTATAACTATAATTCTATAATTCTATAATTTTTAACAAATAGTTTCGGCCGTTAAAAAAACTGTTTCAAAATAAAAATGCCAGATTCATAAAGCGCTTCAGTTAATCTCTTGCACGAATTCTTTTAGTATTGCAAGAAATTTATAACTCTATTTAAAAAAGTGTTGTGTCTTTTAATTATTAAAAGCAAAAAAAATCAAATATAATTGAATACAAATAAGCACACTGCACATTCTTAAATATGAAAAAGATGTAGATTTCAAGTTATACTCTAATTCTATTCGTTATCGTTGTACAGTGTTTCTTGTGTCATTCTGTAGCCATTTATATATTGCAGTAAAAGTTGTAATGATAAATAATAATTAAATACTTCTTCAACAATTTATACTATCTCAAGAAGGCAAGTTTACGTGTATCGAAGTGAAACGCGCTTTTCAAGAATTCTGTTTATTCTAGAATAATTCAGTACTTATTTCTGCGTTCTAGTAAGAATTTTAACAAACTTTTGACATTAATCAAATATTTCTCAAAAATTTAAATAAACTATTTTTGTTTATTTAAATTAATACTGTCAAGAATTATAGAATTATTAAAAATAAAGCCGGATCTTTCTCGATAGTTTGAGTTCCATCGAAATGATACGCCAATTTTGCGCACACATCGATAATATATACGGCAGCTGATCAATTTGCAGAAATGCAGAACACGCAATGCGGGAACTGTTAATCGTGTCATCTGTGTAATTAATGGGATAAATGCCTTCGATGAGATATTACCGTTGGCATTTAATCGTATGCAAATACGCTCTACTTTCGCGGCAAGAGAAAAATTTAAGCGGCCACGTTATATTAATCAAACTATGTTGAAATTCGTGACATAAAATTCTTATCAAATTTATGAAAAGATGCAAGCAACAGCTTTACATAACGATTTTTATATTAATACCGATATTGAATTACTGATGATTAATTGAAATATTTTATCAGAAACATGAAATATTTTATCAGACGGATGAAACGTGTAAATTAAAAGAGACGCGAACGCACGTGACAACTGCAATTCTTCTCTCGGCCGCGACTACTTGCTAACAATCTCCTTGACTCGGCTACTTTTTGCTACCAACTTTCTACTTACGTGTCTCGTGTCGGCCGCGAGAAGAGGAGTGTGTGCCTGCAACAACCGAGCGTTCAGGGAATTAGAAGAGAGGTCGCGTGACTTTTTGCTCTTTGCTAGCTTGGAGCTTCATGCCATTCATCTCGCGTGGGATTCCAAAAAATCACCAAAATATCGCGGCATCGTTTTATTAGGAAAATCGTTTAAGCAAACAAATTCTATACGCATTCACAAGAGCGTATTCCTTGATGATGAATTTTAGCAAATGCATGATAAATTGTAATTATGAAATTATCTAACAAGGATTACAAAATTTTCGCAGATTAAACTTTACGGATATGGATAAATCGTTATTATTCATCACGTGTAACTCTCACTTTAACTAGATTATAACCAAAGTTTAATCTACAGCTTTGCTAACAAGCTATCAAGATTTAAATGATTTCCAAATTCATCTCAGTATACGCTCGTGTAATTCAAACTTTGCAAAACGCTTTATTAATTTATATTATTATATGAAATGTATCCAAATTAATTTATCAACTATTAATATATTATTATTATAAATGAACGTGAACTTTTACAATAAATCTGTTACTTTATTAACAATCGAATTAAATCAGGTGAATAAAAATATGTTGAAAGTGATAATGATTTTGCGTATAGACAAAAATGTTTGGCCTTTTTGGAAGTTATTCAAGTGCAGCTTAGGAATTTTAGAGAGAAAGTCTCTAGGAAGATGCGTTTGCATGCTGTACAATATGTGTATTCAAGAGAAGATTATTCATGCAAACTTAAATAAAAAACAGAAAAGGGATATTTCTGGCTAGCAGCGACGTCGTTTTGTTGATTCGGCTAAATGACTCAAGCTCGCATTTTAGATGTCTCCACAATGCAAATTCGCTCCTTTTGCATACCGCGCGCTTATTAAACGCAGTGAGCTCATTAAAAGCGGAAGTTGACAATGGCGCGTGCGAGCACGAAATTCTCCTCTTCGCATAATTATCGCGCCCACGATAACTGAACTTCGCGACGCAATGTAACGACGAATTTCACCACGTCGCGTCGCCATCACCGCGATAATGTCGTCGAATAAATGCAGGTAAGCTTTAAAACACACTTTAATGTCGGTTGTTAAAATATTACGTTCTACGTGACATTCGAGTTAAATGTAAAAAACATCGTACTCGATGTCACATTTTCTCTTCGCGTGTGCCTTTTATACGAAAATGCATGCAATAAAATCGATAGATTCGTTTTCTTATTCAATTAATAGAAACAATCCTATTTTTGGTTAAAACGAATCTCAATGATACTAAATGCAAATTTTTATAAATATACAAAAGAACAATTCAAGGGCTAAGAGCCAGTTATGTAACAAAGATTATGTTACATAATGTCAGTTATGTTATCTGACATTGTCGAAAAATCACATTTTATATTTGCAATCTTGTTCCACATTTAAGTAATTAACTACTGTATCACCATGATGTGGAACATTACCGGTTTGAGTTTTTTCTTATTCACTGACTCACAACATTGTATTTAATAAGATTAAACACTGTTTTACTGCCTAGTATTTCCAACGACTAATTTCACGATTTTAATTTATTGACTAGTAACATTAAGATATGAAGAATATTGAAAAATACATATGTAGATTTTCAATAATTTTACAATTATGTATTTGTTGTAACATTGAAAATAACCTAATCGGCGTCGAAACGTTTGTATATTGTAATCATTTTTATGTTTTAAATTAAACGATCTTTGTTACATAACTGGCTCTTAGCCTTTGAATTGTTCTTTTGTACACTTACAGACAATTATTATTATTTATTATTTTTACAAATATATTATTTCAGTTTTATGAACTGTGCACCAATAAGATTTATCGGATTTGATGCGCAATCGCCAAATCAAAGTTGACACTAATATTTTAAATTAGATTGGTCATTCATTTTAATAGTGAAGCTAATAAGATTTTAGACTGTAAATAATTTATTGTAAAAAATATTATCTTATTGTTTTTTTATTACTGCTTTTGAACTTCTCTTTCACTTTCGCCAAATTTCAAACCTACATCACATTTTAAATATAAAAACTACTTCACTTTAAATACAAAAAGTGTACCCTATAGATCAATTATAAAAAAAAAAAACAGATTGAATGTTACTTCAACTAGATTAAAATATGTGCGATGCACTATTATGGATAAACAAAAAAGGAAAGAAAAAAAAGATTGAAAAAGGAAACAGGCGTGGATGCAATTTTCATTTGATTAAATTCAAGGAGAAAAAGATATGTCATTGTCGTTTTCCCAACATAATTCCGAGAGTCTGCGTACACTGATCATTTTCACGTACACAAAGTCCCCGTGATATATTCGTGGTGAATAATCCGCGTTACAAATCTGATGAATCTCGACAGGATTTATGACGGAAAAGAAAATGCGAGGCGTGTCAGTACAGGAAACGCAAAAAAAACTATTTTATCCTTATTACTCATCAATGAATATGTAAGCCCAAGGCAAAATTTCAAGTGTCAGCAATAAATTAAGTATCGACACTTATAATTTTATATCGTTACTTCGTCATAAAATGTATTGCTGTATGATACGCAGGTTATAATCGATATGTGATAAACGTGATATATATTTTTGATCTGTAAATCGATAAAATAAATTTAAAAACAGGGAACCGGTTTAGTCTCCATGAAATCGAGTTACTACACTCAATGCCACAAATTAATTTACATTCTAGTCGCACGTTCTATCGCAAGTAAACTACGCAATTTAATAGAATCATGTTCTTATTAAAAATATCTCTCAGGAGAAAATCGAATAAGAAAACATATTGACTTGTTAAAAAAAAAAGTTATTAAAAGTGAAACCAAAGAAATGGAAGAACATCACATCACTTTTCCTGATTGCACTACATAATCCATTAATTTAACTTAAGTATAGATTCCGGGCTTTTCCGAAAGAAAGACATCGGGATTATTGATCGACATAGTCGTTATCGTTAACGACGCGCTGTCTTTCCCGAAATTCTTACCGGTGAAATGGCAACCCTTAATTTTCCAGGGAAGTGGCCGCGTGTACGGCCAAATTGAATTTCATATTTCGCTGCGCATCGTGAGTCGGGCTTCCGGTCGCTGCTCCGACGTCCCCTCGTAATTAATTGCTATTCAAGCCTACCTCGTTCCAGTATACGACACGATAAAAAAAAAGTTTGCCTCTTGTCGCGAGTGAAATCAGCGTCCTAATTTCCCTTTCTTGCCAACGCTCTCAACACGATACGATTATACCCTCGCTCTGTTTTCGTGTGGAATCAAAAGGAGAAGCACGTTAATGAAGATGGATCGTCGCGATTAGCTCAATCACCGAAAGCTTTTTCTCGATGAATAAACAGTGCGATCGTGCAATCGCTTCAATTTATTCCACTAAGCCTTCTGTAGGAGAATTAATAACAAGTTTATTAAATTCTAAACACGATGACACAAATGGATTACAATATGTAATTAATTAGGGGGATTATTTCTGTTTATTCGTACAATATCTATGTGTCACGAAATTAACTAGGAAATGTTGACAGATCAATTTAATTACCTGACGTAACATGTACTTTGTATGTACGATACTGTTCTGTCTATTATTTTTAACCAAAGCTTGAGCTCGACATCATAAAACATTTCCGTTCCGTGAGATAGCAAACTTTGTTCGCAAGAAAAGAAAGAAAACAGACAAAGAAGGGACATGCTGAAATAAAACGCAGTCCTTTCTTTTACATGGAACGAAAAAGAGTTTGGTTTCTCTCGCTGTTTCTTCGTTTTGTTTTTTATACGGCGATGCTATCATATTCCGGTACTGCAAGCATCGGGCCTTTTTTTCACGGAAAAATCAGGAAAATTGAATTTCCGGGAGCGTGTAACGCGGGAGATCGAGAGGGTAGTGATACACGCGTAGGGGAAACAGATGCGCGGGAAGACAAAGTGACAAGCGGCCAGAGATCGCCGGAAATGCTCGTGGACGTATTACACTGTGATTTCCGACGACGTGATATCGATCGCAATATTCTGTACGCGTTCCTGAAACACATTTGCTTGCGTACGCGCGCAAATCCGCGCCCCCCTTTATCGCCCCGAATTTTCCGTTGTAGGTGATATTGCCCATAAATCCATCCTTTGTGAGTTGGTGCGATACATACAAACGCGGGAGAATCTTTTTTTTTAATATATCGAGGCAACATTTCATTTCTCTTTTCCTTTTTTCTTTTTTGCAAATCAACGTGAATTGCCTTTTCTCGCGCACGAAAAAGTTTCGAAATTTCGAAGTTTGTCGTTAAATTCAGTATTCCCCCGATTGTGGGAATACTGAAAATAAAATCTGCCGAACATAAAAAAGATGTACAAAAGAGAAAAAACCGCCATTGATGGAGAATAGAGGGCGGCGAGAATTGGAAAATCGGAAAAAAAATTCTTCCGCTATAGCGGATAAGTTTACGGCTGAATTTCGCGATACCGAGATATTCTCAGGAAAAAAATTCACAAGACAGCAAATTTAAAAAGTAGAAATTTATGCGTATCGCTGCGCTGTCAGTTCTATTGTTGATCGAGGATCGTCGAACATGTCGAAGGTACAGCATGTGCGACGACGATGCAGCTAATGCATCTCGGGGCACATGCGTTCGTCGTCGACAAGGCTACGTACTTTGCTTAGGCAAAGAGAATCGCCGGGATTCGGTTACACATTTACACATTTATGGAATATCGATTTTCGTCAGGCGAACTGCGTCGACGGGGAAATTATTCATATATTCGTCGTCGCTGAGACGTACCCAAGGGTTGTCCGCGTCAAAGCCACACGAGAGATTGTACCGCTGCCAGGCAGATCGATCCACACGGACAACAAGCGAGAGAGGCAAAAGGAGCAAATTGAAAGTAACCTCTCTTGTTGTCGGGCAAATTTTTAACTTTAGTACAGGGCGGTGAGCGAGACACACGGCGGAAGTTCGCGCGACGTTGAAGTTCGCGCGCAAAAGTTGCGAGGGCGAGTC